GCCTCGAGAAGAGATTAGAACTTAAAGAAGAAAATCTTAACTAGTAAGAAGCTTATTGGAAGAGATGAAAGCTAAGCATGGTTGGATGAAGGCCATGCCCAATGGGCTTCAAAGAGGCTATCCAAGGCCTTATTAAAGATTAGGATTTCTCTTTTGAAGTTATTCGAGCTTTTAAGGTTAGGGTTATCAAATTTAGATTTTTGGATATGGATTGGATATAAATTATGTGTGATTTGGAGTTTTAATGAAGGAGTTATTGGCGCTCAAAGTTAAGGTATTAATTTCATACCTATTGTCACTCTTTGGGACATAATATACGTTTACAGAGAGTAAAAAAGGATTGACGATTAGAATTGGAGAGAAAAAAATTTCAACTACATTTTTCATACACTATTTGATGAATTTGGAGTTTGGATGAAGAAGTTATAGAGTGTTGAAGTCAGCGCATCCTAATCAAAGGTAGTAAGTAAGTGATTTTTTTCATAGTAATGGTTTGAGCCATATCTTAGATTTCTAGACGAAATTTTGGCTCAAACCTTTTAAAAAAGGTAGATAATTGTATTAAGAAACTATACATACAAATTTTGTGGCATTTGAGTGTTTAGTTTGTGAGATATAAAGAAATTTGCATGCACATGTATAAAAACTAGGGTTTGAAGATACTATTAGGATTTTGATGATATCTTAAGATCCGCAACGAATTTGCAGTTGAAATTTGTTGTAGTAGTTTTTAGAATTACATTAGTACTTCATGTAAAATTTGAGTATTTTTGAACGGTCCGATTGGAAGATATGAGTTTTTGAAGTTCAAGAATAATACTCCATAAGGATATTAAAGGATTTAGAGGTTTTATTATATTTTGGATATTTTTGAGAACTTAAGACTTATATATTTGGTGCAATAGTATCTAAAAGTGTTATATATATATATATATATATATATATATATATATATAAACTTGGTCTTTCTTATCTCAAGACTTGATTGAGCAATTAATAGTAGCCAAGAGCGTAGTGCTTTCTTGAAGCAAACTCTCTCTACCCTGACATATTAGTACTTCCACTGAGAGAGCCTTAAGACACTAATTATTTCAATAAGTTAAGATGGGAGATCAAATTCCTAGATTTTCATTACCAAGTGGGATGGGTGTCCATGATTAATTTAGGAAATTTGCTCAATTTATAGAAGAAAGACAACATGTGCATAGAAATGATAGGAGCACTACTAAAGCCTTAAATGTAGTAGTGGAAAAAGTTGGAAGGTTTGATGGGAGGAATATTACTAAGTTCTGAAGGATTTACACATATAAAATGGAAGTGCATCAAGTTCCATGAATAAAGATGATCACTACCTTTGATTTAGCAGTGATACCAGAAATTAGGAAAAGAATGCAAGATTTACATGCAGAGGCTATATCATGGAAGAAATTTGAGGAACTCTTGAAAGATGAATTTTTTGAAGAAGATTCAGAAAGAATGACCAAGGTGACTTTGTGGAGTAGATTGAGCATAGGCCAAGGAATGAAATAGCTCCAAATGAATTAATCATGGAATATACAACTAAATTTGGCCAATTACAATGGCAAGAGAGGTAATTATTGGAAATAAGAAAAAGTGAGTTATTCTTACAAGCACATGTTTCTACTTGCACAATCTTTTTTAAAGCTGGAAAAACTTATTTTTTGATACATTGTCTTCTTTGGCAATTATACTCCTTATGTTGTGATTGTGTTGTTTCTTTGGATAATATTGAGCAATGTGCTTAGCTTCTCTATAATATAAGCACAAGCCTTCTTGACAATATCAAATCTTTCTTTGCTCAGTGAGAGATATAAAACATATTGTATCATATTACATTTGTTCTAGCCTTGATAAATAAATTTTTGAAAACTTGTGAGCTGCCATCATTACTTGACTTATTCTTCTTCAACCAAGTTTTTGTTCTTAATTCCTTTTAAATAATCAATTATTACATATAATGGCTTAAGCAATAAATTATCACAAACAATATTTTTGGCATTATTAATAATAATTCTTTGACATTATCCTTCAATCTATATTAAAATTGATTGATAAAGGCTTTGTCATACTAATTTATATTACAAGCTAGATTTTGGAATTCAACAACATATATGGTAGCTAATCACAATTCTTGATGTAAAGATAAGAGCTTGATTTTTACTATTCTTTTTTAATCACTATTTTCAAATGTAGTTATAAACACTTCTAAGAATAAATTCAAATCATAAAAGATTTATAAATCTTTTTATATTAACAGTGCAAATAAAAAAAATACTTCTAAATAAAAGTGTATCTTTAAATCTAATTTGAGTAAATCCATCAAGGTATTAAAAGAGATGCAAACTTAGATAGAACTTCACTTGTTATAGAAATTTCCAAAATTTTGATCTTGTTCCATGAAACTTATAAAGCATACTAATCTGTATCTCCATTGTACTTTTACAAGCGAAATTTTTTGAATTTGGTTAAGAAGTTGATCTACTTGTTTCTTTCAATTGCACAACTTCTTGACATAGATTCTAAACTTTTTTCATAGGCATAGGATTAGTACTTCCATAGTTGGCACTCGTGATGTATGAATTTTCTATTCTAAGAGTATCAACAAATTTGTGAAGATTTGTAATAGTTGCAAATCTATTCTTACTTCTTTTAAGTGTAGCATCTATATTTTTTCCTTCTATTTCAAACAACTTAACAAATCTACAAGTCAAATTAGAAGAAGGTATTTGCAAACTCTAAAATTAAATAAAAATTTCTACAAAGAAAGATAATTTTCTCTCTTTAGAGAAAAAATCAGTGTTAAAAAACTAAATAGTTTATTTAAATGTGGATAATTTGAAACCTTCAAAATACAACAATAAAAATGGAGTAATCTACTTACTTCTATAACAAGATAAGAACAATAAGTTAGCATTCTTGTCAAATTATGAAGGACATGAATCTCGAAAAAAGAAGACCTTGATATACTTTTGTATCACTCAAAAAACTAAAAAATTACTAAAGAAGGTAGTATATTGAATTAAAATGGATATTACCAAAGACAAGAAGACTAGAAAGTCTTAAAACAAGACTAAGGATTAAAAAAGCATTGATAAGAGTGAAGAAGGATGTACTCTTACCTCTATATATACTCTTAACTAAAAGCTATGTTGTGATATCCTATAGAATATTTTAAACATGTTGACTTTATAAGACACATATCTTAACTTGCAATGCAAGTTTTTTATATAAATGACATATAATTAGGTTGTTCTGTAAGCTATGGACAAATCTATTCTCACTCCTACTAAGTAAAGCATCTATGATCTTTTTTTTATTTTAAAAAACTTCAAAAAACTACAAGTCAAATTAGAGAAAGATAATCTATAATTTCTAATATCATATGAAAGTTTCTACAAAAAAAGATAGTTTGCTTTCTTTAAAGAAAAAATGAGTGTTAAAAAACTAAACAATTTGTTTAAAGGTAGATAATCCACAACCTACAAAATATAACAATAGAAGTGAGATAATTTACTCACTTCTAAAACAAGACAAGAATAATGAATTAGCACTATTGTCAAATTTTTAAGGATATGAATCTTAAAGAAAGAAATTCTCAATAAACTCTTCTATCACTCAAAAGAACTAAAAAATCACTCAAAGATGATATAGTATTATACTAGAATGGCTACTACCAAAAACAAGAAATATTGGGATCTTTCAAAAAATAATAACAATCTTCCAAAAAATTAATATGTCACCATTTAAATAAAATAACAAATTATTATTGTTATTTAAGATTTATAATATCTTTTTCATGAAATCAATTTTATGCATAAAAATAATATAAAATTACTTCTTGAATAATTACATATATTATTTTGTATTTTAACTTCATCTATTTTTTTATTTTGAGAAGTGATTTTGATATTCTGAATTTTTTTAAAAAAAATCAAAATTCTTATGTTTTTTAATTATTCAAAATATTAGAATATTATTAGACTATATGAAAATAAATAAAGAAAATTCATCCTCAATAAATTTTATAAGAAATCTTATAATGTATTAGATTATATCTACTTTTAATTAAGTTTTGAAGGATAATATTCTTGAAAACTAAATATTTTATTATTTTTCAATTTAATATAATTTTTGAAGGATTTTAAATATTTAAGTATAAATAAAAATATAAGAAATTTATAGAATTTTTTAATTCTTCTTAATTATTTTTATTTTTAGATTAATAAATGATATAATGAATATAATTTATTTTTATTACTATTAATGCATCATTTTTATTTTTATTTTTTATTTACATTCTTCATAGCAATTATTGCACTCCATAATCTTCTTTTGATATGTAAATATGCCCTCTGTCTAGTATTCATAAACTTTATTACATATATCAATTCATATTCATCTCTTCTCCAATTATTGAGTCTAATTGAATTAAATTAGCATCATTTACATACAAATACAAGCTTTTTACGTTCATAATTTGCTAACATCAAATTTAAAGGTTAAGAAAGGAATTGTTTATTTTCTTCTTATCTATTGTTTATTTATTTTTATATTGATTTTTTTTTCAGAGGTAATATAATACATTCGCCACATTTGGAAAATGAACATTGCATGGAAGAATGAATAAACATTTTTCTAGAAACATGTAAACATTTTTATAAAACAAAAAACTTTCTTTACTTAAGCTATTTCCTAAATTGATAAATTTAATATTAAATTTCAAAACTATCTTTGATTATTTCATTATAGAGATGCTGTATTAATTTTTAAAATCTTTTTTTGACATAATTGTATTATGTTCAGCAATAATTTTTCAGACTCTCAATCTGAACTATATAAGTCAGAAACTTACAAGTTATTTTACAAAATGAATTTGGTTAAGTAATTTTAGATGATATATCATTAATATTGATATTTTTCCTTGTGCACTCAACATCAGCATTAGACAGCAGCATTTCGTACTTAGAAGTCCATGGGTCTGAACCAACGTTAAATCGGGTAATTTTCAGTTAAAACAATATGTCAGAAAAATTTCTGGGTAATAGTTGTACTTAAAGTGGTAAGTACACACACTTACTTCCAAACAGGAATAACCACAAGAACTTCCGGCAAATCATATCTTTTCACAAAAAGTGCAATTATGTACACTTTTGGCTGGAACATAAAATCGTCCTACTCACCCACTCCATCCCACCTTAGATGCTGAGCACAGCAAACTCTGAATTGTGCACAATAAGAAGAGTATTGGAGGCCCTCTTCCGCACGCAATATCGTTGTGTTTTTTTTCTGAATAACTTGAAATTCTAGCTAGCTGTTCACTCAACAAAAAAACATGGAATGATCTGCCTTCATCCGCAAAATCGGGACTGGTGGTAAAGGTCTTGAAACACCTATTCCTCGAGAGCTCGATGACGATGTAGTAGATCCTCCTTCCAAAGGACTCATCAACTTCCGATATCTTGATGCCAGAATATGAGCATATGCGGCTGGAGCCGCTGCAAAACACCAAACCACGGGACAACGTTCGTGTTAGAAAGTTACAACCTACTGCAGACACAGGTGCGGAAGTATAAGTCCAATGATTCTCAAACCAGGAGGTTACCCATCGAGATGGATGAGGTACAGCGTCCAAACCTGCACATGAACCGCCATCCCCAGCAGAATACAATGTCAGAGCTCAAAACAAGAAAAAACCTGTGGAAGGTGTACATTGCAACACGGAGCCTGCATATGGAATCAAAAAACTTTAACCACTGACACCTACGTGTAGCACAGTTTGTTGGTCAAGGTCTGAATATCATCAGGCCCAAGCTGGTTTTCATTCACCAGTATTGTGTAGTGAGTAGGCCGAGCTGTGCCCTACAGTCCAGGCAAACGTACATTCTCATCATCGTCACGTTAACTGCCCTTCTCAAGGGGTTAAATAGCAATGACAACTGGAACAGTAGGAAGGCGATACAATGCAGGCCCCAGATAGAGTTCTCTTCATATGAATTCTGCACGTTAAGATAAATAATGGCTGCCAAACAAACTACTGTTAAAAGATACGAATGACTACAATGAGGCCGGCCTGAGAGATGAGGAAGAAGTCAAAATTCCGAGGGTGGCACGCATCCTTGTCGACAACAGTTCCTGCACATCACGGCGAGATTGGGAGTTTTGCAACTACACGTTTTGGCTAACTTTCAGATATAGAGGTGCTTCTGCAGTGTACAAACACAATCCTTGCAACAGGAAGCACACTTTCAACGCTTAGAACGTTGTCCAATATAAGCAAAGCTGACCACATCTGGCAGGTGCAGTACCAACCTGGTAGAACGTTCCCATTCCGCAACGCATCTCGACTCTGAGGAAAGAAGCGCGTGCCGTGACGCTTTTTAGCCACAATGAACGTTATTCCGGGATTGTAACCCGCTTCGAGTTCTGCACAAGCCTGTCGAAACCAAAGTAGGTTACCACACCACCCACGACGACACATGAGAAAGACAATGAAGAACCAAAATCATTCCACGAATCAAGGTCACGCTGAGGATTTCAAACTCACTCGTTTAAATGCGACGAACTCAACTTCCAAACATTTCGCAAACATGCTATCGCTAACTCCATCCCTGAATCAGAGCAGTCCCTCCAACTCGTTCAAATCATCATGATGTAGAAACAGTGAGAAATACGTGTATTCATCATGCCGAATCTGGCGGTAGATCCAAAACAAACTACGGGATATGCACTTAACTCCTGAAGTAACGATCTCAGAGAAACACACCATTGAGTGGAAGAGAGGATGTATTACAAATATATGTCAGCAGACCAGGGGTACCTGTAAATTATAATTTGGGATGGCTTCGGGTTGACGCCTTTGGCGCATGTCGAATAGAACGACATGAGCAATTCTCTGCCAAAACGATCAACGTTAATTTTGGTAAAGCAAACCTCCATGTGTGCGATCCTAGAAAACAAGCGTCCTCGCCTATGGAACATCCTGCGGAAGTCTAACTCACCGTACCATGCCACCTTCAGGTTCATACAGCCCTTGAATCATCTCCATCCTGGCTGGTTGGACCTTAACTTGAGTCGAATAATGGAATACCTCGGGCCAATTCTTCGTTGCGACTACTGCCGCAATTGAGGGTATTTCGACATCCCCAGGAGACCCATGGGTCACATCCATGCCGAAGATTATGGTCGACTGACCAAGGCAATGTAACATCCGCTGACTCAATGGCGAGTTCAATCCTCCCATCTGTGCACAAAATCAGGGTGTTACACACGCAACTTCGAGTATGAACAGCGGAAAGATCCCTCATACCTTCACATGTCAGCACATACCTTCAAATTAATCTTCAACGCAAGGTTTCCTAGGAACTGATCGTTCAGAGTTCGCGGCTTCACCATGCACTGCGAGATTATTCCAAGTCTAATTTCACACAACCGCTTGAAAGGAACTGTCATAACAACCCAACGTGTTAGAAGCGTGCAGGGCTTCACCAGGGTAGGACTACTGAGCGCCATCGAATTACTCGGTAAGGGAGCAGTGAAAGGATGAAGGTACCATAAATGGGACTGTCTTTTTCTGCTAGAATAGCAAGAATGAACACAGGCGCGTACGGCCTCAAAGCATTAAACATCGTCTCCACTCTTTCTTCAGGAGAAGATCCAAACGAATTCCTCGGCTGTTTCTGCACCACCGCCGGACTTTTCATCACCATGCCTCGTCGGCTGCAACTCTCTATCAACTGGAATGCGATTCGATCTCCATCATTGCAGCAGGGGTCGAACACAGCTACAGCCCAAGCGGCTATCGTAACTCCCTTTTTCAAGGTCTGCAAGGGACAAGCAGGACTTGCATTAGATAAAATCCTTTCGCCATAGTGGGCTAAGCCTTTAGAGAAAACACGCAATGCATTCCTAAGAGCGAACTTGAAACACCTTGTGGTTGAAATTCCATCGCCCTTCTTTGGGCTCCTCGGTCTTTCCATTTCCAAAGTCGAGCTGTCCTCACACGAGAAAACAATACCACTTGGGATGAGTCGTTCTTTACATCCTGATGCAAGGAACACTCACTGGTGATGTGGGAAATTATATCAAAGCGAACGTGTTGACAATCATACCTGAGGGGCAGGTAGCACTCTGCCAGAAACGGACGCAAGCTTGTTATCAAATTGTAAACCGAACTCCGCAATCAGCTTGTCGGAGCTGTAGTTGCAAACTTTGAGCGCCTGGTCATGAAATAAGACAAATACTACAGTCAATGGGGAATTCGAGGCTACAACTCAACACATTCTGTAGGATACTGCAAGTCATCTGGTGTAATTTCTACACACATTCTCACAGATCTTTTGTCGTTCTTGCGGCGCCTGCTTGCTTGCACCGATTTGTGCCATCCTCTGCTTGCTGGACAGCGGCTTGGTATAGCGCTGTCCACTAACTATCTTGCACAACTGCGGTCAGAAGAACAAATACAAACACTGACGAATGAAACACCAGTGGACCACGCAAGGAAATATGAAAGATAACCAACTCTAACTGTCGGCAGGAAAATTAGAAACTGGGCGAGGAAACGCAGACATTACTTCTATGGGCATGTATATTGGCTTCCTGCTGTTTCCAAGATCCAGCGCTGGAAAATTTAGGTTTTTTAGTTTGCGCGAGTAAGTATCAAAAAAATAATTATATACTGAAATTTCCTCCTCCCCATTCCCATCTTTCGTCCCCTTCATAAACCTGCATCGGCACCAAATCAAATCACGTCCTTAGAGGTCACTTTGCATGTTCAGTCGAATGGAAATTCATTACATATTCGACAACACCACAACACTCAGCAATAGTGAAGCTGAATAAAATACTTCGTGACCACTATCCTCACTTTAATTCTCGTATGGACCGATCACTGAAGCCCGATATTCTGTACTTTCGGGACACTCCCGTGTGAGTCGTTTCTATTCTGACGTTTTTCAACATGTCCTTCGCTTTAGCCCAATCTCTTTTCTGCAAACCAGACAGGTCTCTTACATTGAACCTTTCCTTGAGAAACTCATCAACCAGAGTAGGCTTCAGTACCACCGTCATAGTGGTATCTGTTGCAATTGGACAAACCAGTCAGTACTATGTCCCAGGGCAACGATGCAGAATATATTACGAAATCACTTCAAGGGACAGCAATGACCATTGACGCCGGAACTGATCAAAGTAAAACTTTTCTGTTTCGAAATGAGACAAACCACATTTTCTTTGGAGTCAGTGACTGAGTACGATCTCTACTCACCTAAATTTAACATCAATCCCATCAGCGTCGGTCTCACGCTGGAGTGATAACCCCTCCAACCTTCCACACCATCGCCCAAATCGCAAACTTGACCCAAACTCGGATGGAAGAAATTGTCTCTCACAAGCAGGTAGCCTCTGCAAAAATAAGCAAATGCCATCTTACGGAATGTAGACTGAAAACACGACTGCTTGCTCATGACAAATGCGGAGTCGCATTTAGTCTACCTTCTTGAAGCAATTTCACGGAGTATAACGTCCAGAACACGTAGAGCGTCCAGCGCTCGATCTTGTAGCTCCTGATCACACCTACCCAGCGCTCTCTTCATCATTTCCTCTATCGCATCCATCCGAATCTTTGCAGCCAACTCAATTGAAACATCAAATTTCCTAACTTTGGATGGAGCCCTTCTCTGTGAGAGAGGCTCTGCTCTACGACTGGCTGCACCACAGGTAAGGAGCAATTTAGTAAGACAAATGAATGACGTTCAGCACAAATGCCACGACGAGTGGATATCGTAAATCGATTTGCTATGCACTTCGTACCTGAACTCGGTCTTCCACTGTCACCAGGTCTACATGAGGAACCCTCGAAATTGTCCAGGAGTACTGAAAACTTCATTGACTTGAACGGTAAACACCCACTCGTAAACAGAGATTTTTCTCCATCGTACGCTCCATGTTTACCATCAAAATATTCGTTTCCATATGTTTCGCGGAGCTTCTTCATTATTTCACGGCACATCCTCTTGCTCACGGTTTCCGGCTCGATTGAAACCTGCAGGCATGGGTTACCGATTTTACTTGCTGACAACGGGCCGAAATTGTCAAATGCGGGCAGCGCGATGGAGATACTTCAATCAAAACTTGTGTAGAAACGGCATTTTACAAACGTCTCAAAATTTAAATCCATATCGAATGTTACATTCAAATTGTGAAGTGGTAGGAGTGGATAGAATAATAAAGTCTTCTGATTGGCTTCAAAATCCGAAATAACGGTCTGGTAAACAAGACAACTTTATCCCATTCAGAATGCAAGACCATGACGCACAAAAAGACCCACTTTTCGTTAGCTGTAGGTTGGCTCAGTGGGCAAAGTGGTCAAACATTGTAATGATGGACATCGACTCTCTTCGACAATGAAGTCTTGAAGTAATTCACGCCAAGCAGTGTCCCACGCCCTGCTCGACCATATCCTGGTCTTAATGATTTTTTCGGCACAGTCACCGCTCTAACCTCACAACGTCCGACTGGTCCGGATAGTGATGGACCTGCCCGAGGTCCTTCGCCACCTCCTTCGCCAGCAGCACTGATAGGAACAGCTCCTTCAGCTTTCTGTCGTCGTCGTTGAACAGAATTACCTTTACCTTGTGCCATCTTGTGAGCTTACAAGTTTCGAACTTATAACCAGCGCCCACCACACAATAAGTTCACTCGAAGGTCAACAACGAAGATTCCACCAACGAAGATTCCACCACGTCATGACTGGCTGGAACCTACAGGACAAAGACTAGAATCATCCCTGACACAAAGCAATTAGGATCACAGCCAGCCGCAGATTTGCAGTGCATGGAGGTAGAATCACGATGAGAAAACAAAACAACTGGTGGGCACTTGAACGTCACCTCCAATGGTTACCAGCACCGTGAAGATCAAAACGCATCCACCGCCGGTCAATAAGTGCACTCTCAGAAGCAAAAAGTGAGAAACTAGCACAGTGAAGAAACATTGAAACAGAAACTTAGTGCAGCATGATATGCGGAGTGCCAACCTTAAATAAGTCCCAGGGCGAGGGTCAGTGCGTGGTTAAAGCAGCAGCTAACAGAGAATGAGCTGCCAGAAGGGAATTTTCCACAGACACGGAGGTGAATAGGAATCATCCATGGACCACCAGCTTCCGAACCATGTTCATCGAATGTGAGCTCCTCTGTTGGTCTTGCTGCAGACTGAACTTCAGACCCCTTCTTTCGGTTCCCTGTTCCGCCGCCAAGCCCAAGTGACTCCAATCACTCACGGAGGCAATGACATGGCCGGCAACTGGACACAGAACTCAGAAACCAGTCCCGGAGATAATTGTGTTGGACCCTCGTGCTTGACAACAGCATTGAATGTGGTTGTAATTCGTTGTTTGGATCCTGCTCTTTAATGACTGTGAGAGTCTCATACAAATTTCCATGCTGCTAGTCATTGTATATAGAAAATATGTTTTTTGAAAGCTTTGGTGTTCAGAGATTGTACAATGTAAGAGAAGTGAACGACATGAGTTGAATCATTGGTTTAAGTATGAAATTAAGTATGTCAATTTATAACTTTATTATATGAATGATTTAAAATAAATGTAACTGGTCATTTGTGGTGATTTTTTAGACAACTTTCAAAATCTTTTAAAATTTTGAGTTGTGAAATTCTTGAGGTGGGTCAATTGAGGGATTCAAGCATGGCCTTTCACTTGTGATGAGATCTCGAAGTATCCAATGATATTCCAAAATATCTTTTGATATTTCACCAAATGACTCATCTTGCTAGGTGGGTGATTTTGAAATCCAAATATTGAAAGAGGTATGGATGAAATATCAAAAACTGCTTTCCTTGCCTTAGCTCTCTTCCCTCTTTGACTCTATACCAATGGAATAATAAAGTGTAAATGAGGGGGAATTATCAACGGTAGTTTGGAGTGTGATATTTGGGATTTGGTATTTTGAGTGATTTTGGAAATATTAAGGGTTGAATCCCATTAATTGGGTTTTGCAAAAGTGCCAAGTCTAAACCTCTCTGTTGAAGTTGTATAGAAAAATATAGCATTTGACCTCATCTTTTATTCTTATGGCTTATGGATTGAATTTTGTGAATACAATGCCAATTAAGTGAGTGCTAGCAATTTCAACCAATTATTATTTTTTTTTTAATTTGGCTTTTTACTTTCTCTTCTAAATAAAAAGACCCCATTACAAAAATACAATTTCATCATTTTGAAGTATTTTATGACATAATAAAATATTATAATTCTATGCTAACTATGGATCTACTTAAACATATGTGTATGTTTTATTATTTACATTTTTATCAACATATGTTCTTAACCTTGAATCTTTCTATTAATATTTTTATTCTGATGATTTAATTATGATATACGTAATTTCTATTTTGTACTATAGATAATCATAAAATACTATATATTTATTTAGATGTATTTATTGAAATTAATAATTATCTTAATTTTCTGTATAATTTTATTATCTTTAATAGTAAAATATATTTTCTTATTTTTATCTCTTGATTTACTTTTATAATGTTAAAAATTGAATGACTTAATTATTTATTTATTTATTTCTATTACATATTGATAAAAGTATCAAAATTTTGTATTTGTTTACCTACAAGATATTTGTAAATCAAAATCATAGAAAAATATATATTTTAAAATTTTAACAAAGTAAAAAATTAAAACAAAAAATATTAAAAAAATTTATAATTTATCAAACAATAATATATATATGTGTGTGTATATATATATATATATATATATATATAGGTTTTTTTTTATAAAAAAATATAATTACATATCTATATATATATATATATTTATATATGATGATGTTTGAAACATAATTATGTATATGTAATTATTTTCATTAACTAAAATTTAATCATTATAATTAAATTTATTGTGCTCAAAACTATGGTTAGATCATATAAAAAAATTACATACAAATTCTTCAACAAAGTTTTACTCCTTTGAATTCAAATGTGTCAATTTTTTTGTTTATGGTTTGCTTATGGTTATAACTTGAAAAGGTTGTATAAATTACTATCTTGTTTTCCATGACCACTTGTACAAGTCATGATTTCCTTTAACTTCATATAATAATAACTAGTTGCAATGATCACAAGCACAAGTTGTTAAATAAGTGATTGTACTTGTTGTAGTGGAAAATAACAATGTATATTATATCTATCAGTGCAAGTTCCAATGTACGAAGATTGAGAAAGAAAATCATCTTCTATCGAAAAATGTATTAAGTAATAATTAGTTCAACAATACATTGACTTTCACACTTCTCATTCTCCAACTAATTGATAGGATTATTATTCAAATTCATACTTTTGAACTGTGTACAAGTAACCCAAATGGTTTTAAAACAGGAACAACTGTTTCTTCACTGATACATCATCCAGCTATCTATATTTCTTTTGCTGGTCATTATTTCTGTGATTTGGGTGACACGTAATTCCACGACACAAACAACAATAAAAAGTTGTCTCGTCAGATGAGATGCCAACCCCATTTTAATTGCTTAGCTGCAACGCCGCCCAGAGTGCCGCACGTTTCATTAAGAGAAGTCTAGGGAGCCCCAGACAGGGAAACAGATGTCGAACTGATCTTTCTTTGGCGGCCGGAAACTTGATCTCGGTGTTAAGATTTGTAAGGCTGGCTCCGCCGCCAGATTGCTCCTGTATTTCCAAGCTTTGAAACACATCACTCCCAGTTGTGTACAGCATCAGCCGTAACTTGGTCGAGACAAGAATTCCTTCTCATAAAAACCACTCACTACAGCAACTTCAGATCAGCCACCAACTTTCTTGGTCTCTCTCCTGCAGGCTGCTCCATCCTGAGTGGCAATGGTGTAACAACCCAGAGTAGGATCAAGCACCGACTCCAGTTCTGAACAACTCTGCGACAGGAATATGAGCACGGAAGTGAGGTGGAGGCGAGAGAGAAAGTGCGCTCAGGATGATCCTCGCAAACCCAATTGAGTCTTTGTCCGGAATCCTCGATGCTGTAGTCAGCAGAGAGATCGAAGGAGTGCGTTGGGAGCTGGAAGCCATTTTGATTCATTCAAGTGGGCAAAAGGTATTCGCAACCTGAATCCAGAAACCTGGTTGAGAACGAGGCAAGAGCCTGAGCAGACTAAGCTTGCAATCAGGGAACGTGCTGGACAAGCTCATGACCTGTGCAATTGCAAAACTTCACTTCAGATTCTCCATCTGTGGAAGAGCAGATTCCGTGTTTCTGGTTGAATTTGTTGCAGACATTTTTTTGGTCAAAGTTTAAGATAGTTTCCTAAAATAGATACAATTTTTTTCAAAAAAAGTTTCAGTTTTGATTTCAAAGGTTGATGAATGAAATATGAATTACATATGTATAAAAGTAAATGATACTAGTGATTATTTTTATTGGAGAATATAAACATGCTATAGAAATAAAGCTTGGCTTATCACACAAAACATATGTGGCTAATAAATATGATTATGAATTGCATAAAATATTTGAAGTTTTTAAAAATACAAAACAAAAAAATAGATGACTTTATTAAAACTTGTGGCTTCTTACTTCCTTGTGTAATTAAGAAGTCCTCCTTAAGAAGATAATGTATTGTCATCTTGATCTATTTAATTGTATGGTAGACTTTTAGGTTGTATAATAACTATTGAGCTTATCAAATAATTGTTATTTTTAATTATTTTCATAATAACTACTTATAATATTAAAATTAATATTTTCTTAACTTTAATCTTACTTCCATATATTCTATCTAATTAAAGAAATTATTATAAAAGTTCTATAGATCATTTGATATGTATCCAACTTCTAAATCACATATCTAACTTATAAGGCAAATTTTTGATATATGTACCACATGGCCAACTTCTACTGAAACAGGACCAGATGATCTCAAAAACCTAAGATCCTTCTATTCTATAGTAAAATAAAACCTCATCACAAAATAGAACAAAAGAGGCTAGAATAGAACTGAATGAAATTAAACAGAATAGGATATGAAAGACAAATTGAGCAAATAGAAATATAATAGAACATAACTGAACAAAAGGATGCAGAACCAAACTTTACTAAGAGAAAGAATCTGAAGCAATACCTAATTAGATGCCCCAAAAGGCCTTGGCCAATCCTATTTATATTAGGTTCTACTACCTTAGACTTTCTAGAATGTTTCTAGGTGGTAGGTTCCACCTAGATAACTGTCTTAAGCCTTTTTTAGAAAGTTCTATGATGGACTCCATCTAAATAACTGCCTTCAATTCTTTTTAGAATGTTCTACAATGGATCCTATGTCATCCACTAACCTAACCTTAATTCTAGAAACTTCCATGGTTCTATCTATCTATATAATTATCTTATCTATACCTTGTTACAGTTAATTCCTTTCTATTAATGCAAAACGTCCTCATTTTGCTCTAGATGGTATATTGAAATTGTCGCTTAGCAATGGGTTAGATTTTGTGCAAATTTTCACATTACTTCGTAATTGGGATAATCTTTCTAAAGAACTTTGTATTGAAGTTGTGGATATTTGCTACCACAATGAAAGTAGTGATGTTTCAAAATGTTGTTTACTTCATATTCTTGTGGTCATCAACTATAATTATTGGTGGTGGTGGTTGGTGTTAATCTGAAAAGTACTTTGGCTTGATATAAAATTCCTTCAATTACAAAATATGGAAGACTAGATGGACCTGAATATGTAGCAAAAGCTCAAGGAAGTATGAAACATTAGAAATTACTATAGAAATAAAAAAAAAGGTCAAAGCTGTTGAAGATCAGGAAGTACTTGCTTAGTTACAACTACATAGAGATTAAGCATAGTATATTGTTAATAGTCAAAAGGCAGCAAAGAATTAAAGAAAGTTACTATGGTAGTACCTAGGATTTAATTGGATGAAGTAGAAATGGATATAATATCAAAAAGATGGAAGTTGCTTCGTTGATTAGCAAACCACCAC